CAATTTATTTTATTATTCCTGGAGTAATTGTTCTCAATTGTTTCCACGCACGTAAATCTCAATTGGAGTTCCGGACGTGCGGAAACTAGAAATTATTTAATTGAGTCTTGAGAAAATCAGGAAATTGTTTGTGCGCCGGGAAAATTATCAAATAACAATAACGAGTGCAATTTTATTTATCTAACAAATTATCCAGTTAAATGCGGAAATATTTTTTTCATTAATTGAAGATCGAATCGTCTCGAACAAATTCGCCGATTAAATTGCACGATAAAAATGCGGGAAAATTCTTGAGGATTTATTCGATTTGAATGTACTGGCGGTCCAATATAAATTTTTATTACTGATTTAAGCGGAGAATTTTGTTCAGAGAATGGATGGCTCGTTTTCAGCCAGAAAAAATTTCATTTTATCACCAGTTAAAGTGTTTACATCATTGTCAAATCATAAAAAGACAGGAGAAGAATCCACAAAAATAATATGGATTGACTGAAATGTGATTCAGACAGTGTGACAAAACTTGTTTTCTGCATTGCCTTTATCGGTCAAGGTAAAATCATTGAGCAGTCTCACACAGTATTTTACGCACACGCGTCAACCCAAACCCTAATGAATAAAATATTTCGCAATATCAGCTTCTTATCCCGCCTTATTTGTCAAAATAACACGTCCGTGGAATATTTCGCAATGATTTTAGTGAAAATCGAGCCAATCCTGTGACTTTAATTTTTCATCTCTTTCGGGTTTATTCGTCGGTATCATTACTGTTTATTTACGGGTAATTAAATGGGGGAGACGTCAGATGTCGAGTGACATCGCTCGACTCCTTTTTAGGTTTTTCCTGCGGTGAGAGGAGGATTTATTTAAAAAATATCGCGGAGGAATATTGTTTGCGTGGGCACGGCGCATTCCGCGTGGGCGAATTCCTTTTTTTTTTCACGTTTCTGCATAATTGTGTTTATGATAATTGTCCGGGTAATACAATGCCGTGAAAAATTTATTTTCGTCCCGAGAATTTTTTACAATTTTTCAAGTCAAAAAATATCGGAAGAATTACCGGGAAATGAGCTACAAATTCCGGAAATAACCATTTCCAAAATTTTATTCTAGTTGC